TCCAACACCTGAGCAGCCCTCTTTCCTCTTCTACTACCAGTTGTAACTTGACCAGCACACTCTACTGCAACAATAACACTTATCGGTCTGAGACTCCTTATAAGTGAATGAAATTATTTACCATATATACTCGAGTATAAGCCTAGTTTTTCAGTCCTTTTTTTAGGTTGGAAAAGCCTCCCTTGCCTTATACTCAAGTCAATATTATTTATTATTTAATTCTATTATTATTATTATTATTATTATTACTATTAATTTTACTCTGTTATTATTTATTACTTTTTCATTATTTTACTCTATTATTATTTTTATTACATTTATCATTTTACTCTATTATTTATTTACGATATTTCTATCCCGCCTTTCTTAAGCCTGAAGGCGACTCAAGGCGGCTTACAACTTGGTAGCCATTCGATGCCATAGCAATATACATTTAAAACAACATTATAAAAAATAATATAAAACCATTAAAAACATATATTAACCAATGTCTTCCTGTTAGTCTCATTCTCCAGAAGCGTCGTCTAAGCCGTTCCATGTTTCAAACTTACATAAGCCGCCCTGAGTTCCTCCTTGGGCGTTGAGAAGGACGGGTTAGAAATATGGGAAATAAATAATAAATAATAAACAATTCTGTGTTTGTCTATTGCATTTAGTATTTTACTCTATTTTTTATTACAGTTATTATTTTATGCTTTATTATTATTATTATTATTATTACATTTGTTATTTTACTTTATTATTATTCTTATTGCATTTATTATTTTACTCTCTATTATCACATTTTACTCACTATTATTATTATCACATTTATTATTTTACTCTATTATTATATTTATTATTTTACTCTTATTATTTTATTACATTTATTACTTTACACTATTATTATTACATTTGTTATTTTATTGTATTTATTATTGTTATTACATTTGTTATTTTACTCTATTAGTACTGTTATTACATTTATTATTGTTTTTATTACATTTATTATTTCACTCTCTATTATTATTGGAAGGATACATAAGCACATTTACATTGAAGAAAATCAGAATAATGGTTTAATTAGAGTTTGACCGTTGTATCTTAAATTACAGTTTTATGTAAATATTCTAAAACATTTAACCTATTGATACCTCAATGTAATTTATTGGTATCTATTTTTATTTGGAAATTGACCACTAGCTGCTGCATTTCATACCCTCGGCTTATATTCGAGTCAATAAGTTCCCCCAGATTTTGGTGGTAAAATTACATGCCTTTGCTTATATTCGGGTTGGCTTATACTTAAGTATATATGGGTATATATAAAATGTAGAGACCAATTTTTAAGGAAGAGTTCTTTCAAGGTGGCATTACAAGATAGATAGCTGTGTGAAACAAAAGCAGTAGGAAGCAAATCATCATCATAATCTAGGCTTGGGCCCAGGATTTATGAAAGACCTCATCTCCCTGTATGAACTTGAGTTTTTGTCCACGAAGACCATCCTAAAAATAAGCCATTTACGCTTAAAGGTGAGGACAAATTCCTTCGCCCTTCTTGAGACAGTTTGGCCTATGTATTTGTAATATGAAAAAATATTTTCTGCTGTTTTCGCACTTCAATAATTTAAGATGCATGTTTTCTTTTCTCATTAGATAATATCAGTTATGGGAACACTGCTTTTCCACTGGTCAATCGGACTGCAGAGGAGAAAACGCAGCACTCGGATCGGTTGACCCTTGAAAGGTAAGGGCAGAATGGATGCGAGGTGCTTTTTAAAAAACCCTGAGTGTGTTTACTTGGAACAGAATCTGGAAAAGCTACTTCCATGAATATTGTTGTAGTCATAGTTGGTTGGAATTTAAATAAGTACACAATATTTTTAATAATAATAATAATAATAATAATAATAATAATAATAATATAACAACAACATGCTGGTCACTTCTGAGCTGGTCGCTTCTGTGGCGAGAGAATCTGCCGTCTACGAAGACGTTGCCCAGGGGACGCCCGGATGTCTTGCAATCCTGCGAGGAGGCTTTTCTCATGTCCCCAAGGACCCCAAGGTCCCCAAGGACCAAGGCAGAGACTTCCCCAGCTCACCCCCTGTTTGGGTATCAGCCAGCACATCAACGACTTAAATCTAGAAATAGTTTTCTAAGATCTACAGAGACACTCGCTGGAACACCTCAGCAAGCGAGAGTCCAAAAGTGGCAGGCTCAAACCCAGAAACTCAGCCAAAGGCTGATACCAAATGAGAGACTCCCCCCTGGGCACACAGAGGACTGGAAAACTTGGAAGGCGCTGAACAGACTGCGCTCTGGCACCACGAGATGCAGAGCCAACCTTCAAAATTGGGCCACAAAGTGGAATCCTCGACATGCGAGTGTGGAGAGGAGCAAACCACTGACCACCTGCTGCAATGCAACCTGAGCCCTGCCACATGCACAATGGAGGACCTTCTTGCAGCAACACCAGAAGCACTCCAAGTGACCAGATACTGTTCAAAGGACATTTTATCAACTACGAAACTCACAAATTTTATATTTTTTCTGTTTGTTTGCTTTGTTCTGTTAGAAATGTAATATAATTGACTGGTTGCCCTGACACGACAAATAAATAAAATAAACAACAACAACAACAGCAACAACTATTATTATTATTATTATTATTATTATTATTATTATTATTATTATTATTTGGGACTTCCAAGTTCAGATTGAGTTTTGGAGCACAACACTCCTGACCTCACAATCGTGGAAAAAAACAAACAAGTATGGATCATCAATGTTGCAATGGAGCCCCCAGTGGCGCAGTGGGTTAAACCCCTGTGCCGGCAGGACTGAAGACCGACAATCGCAGGTTCGAATCCGGGGAGAGGCGGATGAGCTCCCTTTATCAGCTCCAGCTCCTCATGCGGGGACATGAGAGAAGCCTCCCACAAGGATGATAAAACATCAAATCATCCGGGCATCCCCTGGGCAACGTCCTTGCAGACGGCCAATTCTCTCACGCCAGGAGTCACTCCTGACACGACCAAAAAAAAAAAAAAATCAATAAAAAAAATCAATGTTGCAATCCCAGGTGATAGCAAGATTGACGAGCAGCAACTGGAAAAGCTTTCATGATATGAGGATTTAAAGATCAAACTGCAAAGGCTCTGGCACAAGCCAGTAAAGGTGGTCCCAGCGGTGGTTGCTACACTTGGTGCAGTGCCTAAAGACCTTGGCCTGCACTTAAAAACAATTGGCACTGACAAAATTCCCATCTGTCAGCTGCAAAAGGCCACCCCCCCCCCCATGTACGAAGGTTTGTTTATTTTTCTATCTCTCTATGAGTTCCCCCGTACAATTAGTTCTGCCCCCTTATCTCATCTGGAGTTTTTAAATTATTTTATGTACATGCGACTTGCTCTCTGTTATTAAGTTTGGTTCCTATGCTCTGTGTATATTGTTTTATATGTTTTGATGTTTTACATTTTAATGTTATGTTGTTTATTTTACTGCAATTTGTATTGTTATAGTGTAGTTCAGGCTTGGCCTCATGTAAGCCACTCCGAGTCCCAGTTGGGGAGATGGTGGCGGGGTATAAATAAAGATTATTATTATTATTATTATTATTATTATTATTATTATTATTATTATTATTATCTCCACGCATTATTTACCGATACATCACACAGTCCTAGACACTTGGGAAGTGTCCAGTGTGTGATCCAATACAACAACCAGCAGAGTGATCTTGTTTGCTGTGTACCAATCTTGCTGTGTATCAAATAATAATAAAGATAATAATGATAATAATAGTAATAATAATAATAATAATAATCTTTCTTAACTGCCTCTCCTTGTGGCTCAAGGTGGGTTACAACAGTGCTAAAATAAGCAATGAAAACACATAATTATTTAAAAACACTCTGTAAAATACCAAAGTTAAAATATTTTCCATAAAATAAATATTAAATACATTAATAATATTATTATTATAATATTTTTATATTACATGTAACAGCACAATATCTTGTCTCTTGTGCTTTACTAATAATATAATATATTGTATATACATATAACATTATAATGTAATACAATATAATACTAATAATAATACAATATTATTTATTTATTTATTTATTTATTTGCACTATTTCTACCCCGCCCATATCAGCCCGAAGGCGACTCAGAGCGGCATACACAGTCGGCACAATTCAGTGCCATAAAAATACATGCATTCATAAACAAAAAGAACCATTATAGTGCATTTAAAAATGAAGACAGTGCATAATAACAGTTTTAAAAACAAAAAGCTATGTCCTCTCACTCAAGTCCTTATCTGTTCCATTGTCTTGGACCGTTATATTTTTTTATATTACATGTAATATTACTAATAATTCTGCAATATAATGGTGTAGTAGAATATATAATCATAGAATTTCTTCGTTGAGAGGTGATTAGATGTGCCTGATTGTTTCCTCCAACAGCAAAACAACAGAAAGGGAACAATCAAGGACATCTAACCACCTCTCAGCAAAAGGTTGCCCCAGGCACTGCCAGGCCATCAAATGCTAATCAAGGTGGTCAGTTGAAACATTCACACCTAGTTCCAGCAGACAAGGGTTCATTCCACAGATATATAAACCCTTTTTCCTAGTTCCAACAGACCTCTCTACCTCTGAGGATGCTTGCCATAAATGCAGGCAAAGAGTCATACAATCATAGAATCATAGAATCAAAGAGTTGGAAAAGACTTCATGGGCCATCCAGTCCAACCCCATTCTGCCAAGAAGCAGGAATATTGCATTCAAATCACCCCTGACAGATGGCCATCCAGCCTCTGTTTAAAAGCTTCCAAAGAAGGAGCCTCCACCACACTCCGGGGCAGAGAGTTCCACTGCTGAGCGGCTCTCACAGTCAGGAAGTTCTTCCTCATGTTCAGATGGAATCTCCTCTCTTGTAGTTTGAAGCCATTGTTCCGCGTCCTAGTCTCCAAGGAAGCAGAAAACAAGCTTGCTCCCTCCTCCCTGTGGCTTCCTCTCACATATTTATACATGGCTATCATATCTCCTCTCAGCCTTCTCTTCTTCAGTCTAAACATGCCCAGCTCCTTAAGCCGCTCCTCATAGGGCTTGTTCTCCAGACCCTTGATCATTTTAGTCGCCCTCCTCTGGACACATTCCAGCTTGTCAATATCTCTCTTGAATTGTGGTGCCCAGAATTGGACACAATATTCCAGATGTGGTCTAACCAAAGCAGAATAGAGCATGGGGAGCATGACTTCCCTAGATCTAGACACTATGCTCCTATTGAATATTGAATATTAAATACATTAATAATATTATAATTATATTTAAATAACATGTAATATTACTAATAATATTACAATATCTTGTATCTTGTACTTTACTAATAATATAATATATTGTATATACATATAATATTATAATGTAATATAATATAATACTAATAATAATACAATATTAGAATTATATTACTGTAATATTACTAATAATACTACAATATAATGGTGTAGCACAATATATAATACTGATATTGTACTATGCTAATAATTTAATATATTTTATGTATACATATCTTGTAAGCCTTTAAAAAGGACCTTAAAACCTGGCTGTTCAGCTGTTTTGATGAATAGGTTTACATTCTCACACTATTGCTTAGCCTCAATGTTTTGTCATTGGAGTATATGTCCCCACCCCCCTTTGTGGGAAAGCCTGATTCCACAACTCCCACTATAATGAGTCCTCCGCAAATAATCTGTCTCTTTCTTATCTCGCCTGAGTTTTAATTAGTTTTAATCATAGAATCATAGAATCATAGAATCCTAGAGTTGGCTTTTAATCATTACATGTAGCCCCCCCCATTGTCATTGTGATTGTGCCTATTGTAATTTTATATTGCTATATTTTCATATAATAATGAAATATTATAGTATAATAATAATGTTTTATGTAATTATGTTGTTTATTGTTTGCGTTTTTGGTTTTATTTTAATTTGTTGTTTGGGCTTGGCCTCATGTAAGCCGCTCCGAGTCCCCATTGGGGAGATGGTGGCGGGGTATAAATAAAGTTTATTATTATTATATTATTATTAAGCTGCTCCGAGTCCCCTTCTGGGTGAGAAGGGCAGCATATAAATGTCGTAAATAAATAAATAATCATAAGGATAGGCTCTCTCTTCTGTTGGGATTCATTGTCCAAAGTCGCTTTTAACAGCTTTGAACCCCTGCACTTGGTATTTATTTTTTCCCAAACAAAGACTTTCTGTATTTTCAGGCAGAAGCTGACACTTTGCCCCATTATTGATGGAGAGGAGCACCTCCGCCTCCTGAGCTTCCAACACAACTGCATCACTCGGATCCAGAACATTTCTAACCTGCAGCATCTTGTCTTCTTGGATTTGTATGATAACCAGATAGAGGAAATTAGCGGCCTTTCCACTTTAAGATTGCTCCGTGTCCTTTTGTTGGGAAATAACAGGTGAAAAGAAGCAAGGGAGCGGAGGGATGATTTATTGTTGCCACCAATTTGAAAGGAACCAGTATTCAGGAGATTTTACCCCAGTTCCCAATTTTAAAAGAACTGGCCGATTTGCAATGGAGGTTACCGATTAGGAACCAAATTTACCATCAAGTTGGAAGGGAGTCTGTTCAATTGCACCTCCTCCTTTATTAAGAAAGTAATAACTTAGTAGTGATTACACTGTATATACTGTAGCGTGACTGGAGAGAAGAATGTAGTCTTATTTGGTTACTTTTCCCTGCGTTTCTGCCACCACGTGAGGTAAGTTGTAATATTGTGAGAAATGGCACTTTGGACACAGAATAGACAGAGCTGAGGCAATCTTCAAATAAAAGTTAACAATTTTATTAAGTACACAGCGTGTGGTTGCAAGACGTAACTTTTCCTTGTTGCACTTGGAATAATACTTGTAACTTTAACAGTTCATTCTTTCAAGTAACACAGTATCTTTCTGACGTAGAGCACTTGTTTCAGACCAAGTTTCCATACAGGGATGTTTCCCTTAGTTGATCTTCTCTAGATCAAATACTAAGTATCCTATTCTTTAGCCTCTCCTTACACTAAAGAATACCAGCTATGTTTCATCATTCGGCTGCACTAGCCTGAGAAACTTCCAATAGCCAAACCCAGCTTTTCAAAGCCTCAAGTTTTACTTCACAAGTCACTCCGCCACCTTTCCTTTCCTTCTCTCCCAACTCCTAACTCCTCACTCCTCTGAACCTAACTCCTGACTGCTCACTCCTCTAAACCTAAACCCTAACTGATTTTTAACTGCCGTTTTTCAAACTCTCTCTTCTAAGCTCCTCCCACTTCCCTCTCTCACATGGAGGACTCCTCTGACTTAGGCCGCTCCAGCATTACTGCAGCCAATCTAAACACAAATACAGTTAAAATCATACAATTTATAATCAACTCCTGTACAACAGGTAATGTAGAAGGGGGGGGGGGCAATTGATATCAAAGCGGTGGTGTGCTCTTAGCATTTTTATTGGGTTCCCTGTGTGTCTTGAGTGAGATGTATTCCATTAGGTCCCTCTATATACTCTGCACTGATAGAGATGGAATATAATATTGTCCCATGCCAACGGCTCCATATTTATCTATCTGTATTAATTTGACAGGATGGGACGATGTATATATGTACTTTTAAAATGTCTGGGGCCCAAGATTGTCCGTGGTAGAACCTGAGCATGGATTCTTCCTTCCCATCCTTTTTCTTGCACCGGGATTGTGGCGCAGCTGGCTGAGTATCAGCTGCATTAAGATCACTCTGACCAAAAGGTCATGAGTTCAAAGGCAGCCCGGGTTGGAGTGGGCTTCCAACCAATTTTGTAGCCTGTTGTCAACCTTTGCAACCCGAAAGACAGTTGCATCTGTCAAGCAGAAAATTAGGTACCACCTTAAAGTGTGGGGAGGCTAAATTAACTAATTTATGAGGCCATAAAAAGGACTCCAGCAAAGCACTCCAGCAAAAAGCATGCGGGGAATGCGGAAGTGCTTCATCAGCATCGCAGATGGACGATGAAAGCGACACCTCCCCTGGCGGCCAGAAAAAGTTAAATAGCCTCTGTGTATGTCTGTATACGTTGTATGTCAAAATTGGCATTGAATGTTTGCCAGATATGTACATTGTAATCCGCCCTGAGTCCCCTGCGGGGTGAGAAGGGCGGAATAGAAAAGCTGTAAATAAATAAATAATAAATAAATTACTGAAAATACTTTTGTGCTTGAATATTTCAGAATAAGGAGAATATCAAACTTGGATAATCTGGTCAGCCTTGATGTCTTGGACCTCCATGGAAATCAGGTAAAACTTGATTAGTACTTCAAAACACCAACCTTTCAGTCAGCAAGTTCAGCAGCTCAGCGGTTTAACCCGCCCCCGGTGGTGCAGTGGTTTAAACCCCTGTGCCGGCAGGACTGAAGACCGACAGGTCACAGGTTCGAATCTGGGGAGAGGTGGATGAGCTTCCTCTGTCAGCTCCAGCTCCCCAAGCGGGGACATGAGAGAAGCCTCCCACAAGGATGACAAAAACATCAAATCATCTGGGCGTCCCCTGGGCAACGTCCTTGCAAACAGGCAATTCTCTCACACCAGAAGCGACTTGCAGTTTCTCAAGTCGCTCCTGACACGACATTAAACCAGGGGGTGTTTCGAATTCAGGAAGTGGGGTGAGCTTCCGCTGTTAGCCCCAGCTTCTGCCAACCTAGCAGTTTGAAAACATGCAAATGTGAGTGGATCAATATGTACTGCTTCGGCAGGAAGGTAGCGGTGCTCCATGCAATCATGCTGGCCACATGACCTTGGAGGTGTCTATGGACAACGTTGGCTCTTCGGCTCCACCCCCCCCAGAGTCGAACTCGACTAGACTTAATATCAGGGGGAAGTCTTTAACTTTTAGTTGTTTTATAGCATACTGGTTGATTTGGCTTTGCAGGTTTTTGCCAATCATTCTTTGAATTGGGTTGTTGTAGGTTTTGTCGGACTATATGGCCATGGTCTAGAGGCATTTTCTCCTGACGTTTCGCCTGCATCTATGGCAAGCATCCTCAGAGGTAGTGAGGATGCTTGCCATAGATGCAGGCAAAACGTCAGGAGAGAATGCCTCTAGACCATGGCCATATAGCCTGAAAAAACCTACAACAACCCAGTGATTCCGGCCATGAAAGCCTTCGACAATTCTTTGAATTTTCCCATCATTTTATAGTGAGGTTGGCCAAACAGAAGCACAACTTTAGTTGTTTTTTCTCTCCAAAAGATTGTGCAGCATTTCTCCTTTGTTGAAAGTAATTCCACTAGAACCCAGAGGTTTATAAATAACTTCCTCTATGAATACTTTATGAAACCCAGATTCCAGCTCTGCAGAACTCCTAACTGAGAAACCACCTTTGGAGAGACCCACACTTCCTGCTTAGCCTTCTGTTGCTGTTCTCCATGTGGCTCTGGGTCTAATAAGTGTTAATATACTTGCTTGCTAAATTATTTTGCTGACTAATGATTGTCTGTGAGAAGCTGGTACCATTCTTCCTTTGGTGGCTGCATTTTGTCCTGCTTTTGCTCCTCTAAAGATAATAATAATAATAATAATAATAATAATAATAATAATAATAATAATAATAATTGATGGGGGGCTGATTCTGGCAGCCTAAGAACAAGCCATTCGAACCAATGCCATCAAAGCCAGAATTGCTGTTTAATATCTACATGAAGCCGCTGGGTGAGATCATACGGAGTTTCGGGGTGCGGTGTCATCTGTACGCAGATGATGTCCAACTCTGTCACTCCTTCCCACCTGCTACTAAGGAGGCTGTCGAGGTCCTGAACCGGTGCCTGGCCGCTGTAATGGTCTGGATGAGGGCGAATAAATTGAAATTGAATTCAGACAAGACAGAGGTACTCCTGATCAGTCGAAAGGGTTACAGCCTGTGCTGGACAGGGTCGCACTCCCCTTGAAGGCGCAGGTTCGCAGCTTGGGTGTGATCCTGGATTCATCGTTGAGCCTGGATCCCCAGGTCTCAGCGGTGACCAGGGGAGCATTTGCACAGCTCAGGCTCGTGCGCCAGCTGCGCCCGTATCTCGGGAAGTCTGACTTGGCCACGGTAGTACACGCTCTGGTCACATCCCGCCTTGACTACTGCAACGCTCTCTACGGGGGGCTGCCCTTGAAGACGGCCCGGAAGCTCCAGCTAGTCCAGCGCGCGGCAGCCATGTACTAACGGGAGCGGGACGCAGGGAGCACACAACGCCCTTGCTGTCCCAGCTCCACTGGCTGCCGATTTGCTACCGGACCCAATTCAAGGTGCTGGTGTTGGCCTACAAAGCCCTAAACGGTTCCGGCCCAAAATACCTCTCTGACCGCATCTTGGCCTACGAGCCCACGAGGACCTTGAGATCGTCTGGGGAGGCCCTTCTCTCGATCCCGCCGGCATCACAGGCACGGCTGGCGGGGACGAGGGAGAGGGCCTTCTCGGTGGTGGCCCCCCGGCTGTGGAACACCCTCCCGGTACACATCAGACAGGCGCCCTCTCTCATGTCCTTTCGAAAAAGCCTTAAGACCTGGCTGTTCGAGAGGGCATTTAATTAAGTGCCAAGCAACAAATAATACGGTAATGAGAACTGGAATGGTATAAGGAAGATGAGATTGACTATGATTCCACTAAGAGACGAAGCGGATTTTTGTGTAGTCTGTAATTGTTTGTAAAGTTATATGTTGTCGATACTGATTTTTGTAACCTGTTTTTTATGTGTACTGTACACCGCCATGAGTCGCCCGTATGGGCTGAGAATGGCGGTTAATAAGTACATCAAATAAATAAATAAATAAATAAATTAAGCAACTTTGGGAAAATGTAGACTCTGCAAGGAAGCCGATGAAACAAAAGATCACATCCTCAGCTGCTGCAAGAAGATCGCGCAGACAGACTACAAGCAGAGGCATAACACCGTTGCTCAGATGATTCATTGGAACTTGTGCCACAAACACCATCTGCCGGTGACAAAGAACTGATGGGATCACAAGCCAGAAAAAGTTACAGAGAATGAACACGTCAAGCTACTCTGGGACTTCCGGATTCAGACAGACAGAGGTTTGGAGCACAAGACTCCTGACCTCACAATTGTGTTAAAAAACAAAGTATGGATCGTCGATGTTGCAATCCCAGGTGACAGCAGGATTAATGAGAAACAACTGGAAAAGCTGACACGATATGAGGATTTAAAGATTGAACTGCAAAGACTCTGGCACAAACCAGTAAAGGTGGTCCCAGTGCTGATCAGCACACTGGGTGCAGTACCTCAAGACCTTGGCCTGCACCTAAAAACAATCGGCGCTAACAAAATCACCACCTGTCAGCTGCAAAAGGCCACCCTACTTGGATCTGAAAACATTATTCACCAATACATCACAGTGCTAGACACTTGGGAAGTGTCCAACATGTGATCAAATACAAAAGCCAGCATAGTGATCTGTTTGCTGTGTACTAATCTTGTTTTGTATCTAATAATAATAATAATAATAATACTTTATATCCACCCACCATCTCCCATAGGGAGATCTAATATAATAATAATAATAATAATAATAATAATAATAATAATAATAATAATAATACAATACAGCAGCCAGCATAGTGTCTGCTGTGGACTCATCTTGTTGTGTTTCAAATAATAATAATAGTAATATTGTCAAAGGCTTTCATGACCAGAATCACTGGTTGTTGTAGGTTTTTTCGGGCTGTACGGCCATGTTCTAGAGGCATTCTCTCCTGACATTTCGCTTGCATCTATGGCAAGCATCCTCAGAGGTTGTGACATATATGTATAATCCTAGAATCCTAGAGTTGGAAGAGACCTCACAACCTCTGAGGATGCTTGCCATAGATGCAGGCGAAACGTCAGGAGAGAATGCCTCTAGAACATGGCCATACAGCCCGAAAAAAACCTACAACAACCAATAATAATCATCCTACATCCTGTTTTTATTTGGGCGTAAATATTCTTACTTCCAAGCATATGTTTATGAGGCTCAACCTTCAACATTTAATTATTTTACTTTTTTAATTGCCCAAGTATATAACTAAATATTAGAAGCTGATTGCTTGAAGGAAGGGTTTTAGTTTCTAAAATGTTCACTGCTTCTTTTTGGCAGATTTCTGTTGTCGAAAATCTCAACCACTTGAATGACCTCAGAGTGCTGAATCTCGCCCGGAATTGCTTAACATACATTGAAAACCTCAGTGGACTGGATTCCTTAATCGAACTCAATCTTCGATACAATCAGATCAGATCAGTGGTAAGAGAACAGAATCTTATTTCCGAGCTGTACTTTGAACGTTATTGATGGTAGAGATTTGAAAAGGAAAAAAAACCCCTTTCAACTTGTGCAGGTTTTCTATAGCATCAAATCATTTTGCTTATATCCAGCATGAATATATTTTTTTGGTGTAAATAACAGTAATGTTAAACTTAAGACAGCAGTCGTCACTTTAAATCAGGCATGGGCAAACTTTCTAAATTGGGGGCCCATATGGTGGGCCGAAGTGGGGTGGGCTGAGATGGGCGAGGGTTCTCCTCAAGTGCCATCCCTGCTCTTTTCTCCCCTTCTTCTTCTCATTCAGAGGCAGAAAGTGAAGGAAAGATGGGAAATGTTTGGATCCCAAAAGGTTTGGCCTTGTTCAGTATGAGATGGTGGACGGGAGAGAAAATGTGTATCCCCGAACTTCCTGACTGAGAGCTGTTCAGCAGTGGAACTCTCTGCTCCGAAGTGTGGTGGAGGGAGGCTCCTTCTTTGGAGGCTTTTGGACAGAGGCTGGATGGCCATCTGTTGGGGGTGCTTTGAACGCAATTGTCTCCTTCTTGGCAGGATGGGGTTGGACTGGATGATGGCCCACCAGGTCTCTTCCAACTCCAGGATTCTGTGAGTCTATGGATTTCATGCCCCCTTCTCTTCTCCAAGCTAAACATCCCCAGCTACTATTTTTATTATTATTATTATTATTATTATTATTATTATTATTATTATTACTATTACTATTACTATTATTAGGGACTGTGGCACAGCTGTCTGAGTGTCAGCTGCATTAAGATCACTTCTGACCAAAAGGTCATGAGTTCGAAGCCAGCTCAGGTCGGAGTGAGCTTCCGACCAATTGTGTAGCTTGTTGTCAACCTTTGCAACCTGAAAGACAGTTGCATCTGACAAGTAGGAAAATTAGGTACCACCTATGTGTGGGGAGGCTAATTTAACTAATTTACGAGGCCATAAAAAAAAGACTCCAGCAAAACATTTCAGCAGGGAATGCGGAAGTACTACATCAGTGTCGCAGATGGACGATGAAAGCAACAGCTCCCCCTGGCAGCCAGAAAAGTTAAATAGCCTCTGAGTGTCTGTCTATATCTGTTGTGTGTCTTTGGCATTGAATGTTTGCCATATATCTGTACATTGCCACAATCAATAACACAGTATAATAATAATAATAATAATAATAATAATAATAATAATAATAATAATAATAATTTACTAGCCGTCCTCTGCCAGGCATTGCTGTGGCCCAGTCTGGTGATCTGGAAAATAAAGTAATGAGAAAGTGTTGGTTTCTAATAAATGTAATGTCTTAATGCTTGTGTGTAAACGGTATTTCTTGCTGTTTCTTTGTCAATGTTGATGTGGAGAGTGTCTGGTTTGCCTACTCTGGAACATGCAACATATAATTGTCCTTCTTTAGGGGTCCCTTTCAAATCTATGATACTATATCTGTCATATATATTCGGCACCAACTGCTGCTCTGGGCCAAAGTGAAGAGAGAGGGGGGCAGAAGACAGTTCCATCTTGTCTCCTGTGCTTTACTAATAATATAATGTAATATAATATAATATATTGTATATACATATAATATTTATAATACCATGTAATACAATTTAATAATAATAATAATAATAATAATAATAATAATAATAATAATAATATAACTCCCAAATTGACTTAAGTATTTTCTATTGGTCATAGGGGTTCTATGTGGGAAGTTTGCTCCAATTCTATCGTTTGTGGGGTTCAGAATGCTCTTTGATTGTAGGTGAACTATAAATCTCAGTAACCACAACTCCCAAATGTCAAGGTCTATTTCCCCCAGGTTCCATCTGTGTTAACATTTGGGCACATGGAGTATTCGTGCCAAGTTTGGTCCAGATCCATCATTGTTTGAGTCCACAGTGCTCTCTGGATGTTGGTGAACTACAACTCCAAAACTCAAGGTCAATGCCCACTAAACCCTTCCAGAATTTTCTGTTGGTCATGGGAGTTCTGTGTGCCAAGTTTTTTGATTGTAGGTGAACTATAAATCCCAGCAACTGCAACTCTCAAATGACAAAATCAATTTTTTTTTAGTGATGGTCACTCCTTGGGGTAGTAGGTGTCTTGGGTCCAAATTTGGTGGCAATTTCGTCCAGTGGTTTTTGAGCTATGTTAATCCCACAAACGAACATTACATTTTTATTTATATAGATTTGACCAGTCATATGACCATTTCAAAATAGAACACGAGTAAAAAACAAGGCAAACATGTGAGGATAGCAGCTGATCTATTTATAGTCAGAATCTTATTTTCCTGGTTCTTCTTTCAGAGTTAAAACAATAACAATTAATTACCATTTATAACAAAATTTTGTTATAGTTCTGAAATTTTCACTACCAGAACTTTAGCAACACTGTAGAAGCAAAGCACTAGCGCCCCCTAGTTTTCACCACCAGAACTGTAGTTTTATAAGTACTTTAGAACCATTTAGAACCATGGATTACCCATGCCTACCAGGCAGCCTATGTCATCTCCAACAGCTCGAGTATATACAGTATTTTGGAATTTGGGAGCAAAGTCCTTGTGTTATTCTTTGGGCCCGGGGCTCTGGATTATTATTATCCCACACTAGCCGTCCCCTGCCAGGCGTTGCTGTGGCCCAGTCTGGTGATCTGGAAAATAAAGAAATGAGGAAGTGTTGGTTTCTAATATATGTAATGTCTTTATGCTTGTGGGTGTAAAGTATTTTTTGCTGTTTCTTTGTCAGTGTTGATGTGGAGAGTGTCTGGTTTGCCTACTCTGGAACATGCAACATATAATTGTCCTTCTTTAGGGGTCCCTTTCACATCTATGATACTATATCTGTGTGTGTGTGAATCATATCTATCTATATCTATGGCTGGATGGCGCTTTGTCAGGACGGCTTTGATTATATTTTTTTGCCCTGGTGAAGGGAGTTGGACTGGATGGCCTTAAGTATTTTCTGTTGGTCATAGGGGTTCTGTGTGGGAAGTTTGGCCCAATTCTGTCATTGGTGAGGTTCAGAATGCTCTTTGATTATAGATGAACTATAAATCCCAATAACCACAACTCCCAAATGTCAAGGTCTATTTCCCCCAAATCCACCAGTGTTCACATTTGGGCATATTGAGTATTCGTGCCAAATTTGGTCCAGATCCATCATTGTTTGAGTCCACAGTGATCTCTGGATGTAGGTGAACTACAACTCCAAAACCAAAGGACACTGCCCACCAAACCCTTCCAGTATTTTCTGTTGGTCATGGGAGAACTGTGTGCCAAGTTTGGCTCAATTCCATCATTGGTGGGGTTCAGAATGCTCTTTGATTGTAGGTGAACTATAAATCCCAATAACTACAACTCCCAAATGTCAAGGTCTATTTCCCCCCCAAACTCCCATCTGTGTTCATATTTGGGCATATGAAAAATTTGTGCCAAGTTTGGTCCAGATCCATCATTATTTGAGTCTTGATGTAGGTGAACTACAACTCCCAAACTCAAGGTCAATGCCCACCAAACCATTGTAGTGTTTTCTGTGGGTTGTGGGAGTCCTGTGTGCCACGTTTGGTTCAATTCGTCATTGGTGGAGTTCAGAATGCTCTTTGATTGTAGGTGAACTATAAATCCCAGCAACTATAACTCCCAAAGGACAAAATCAATTTTTTTTTAGTGATGGTCACTCCTTGGGTTATTAGGTGTCTTGTGGCCAAATTTGGTGCCAATTCGTCTAGGGGTTTTTGAGTTATGTTAATCCCACAAATGAACATTACATTTTTATTTATATAGACTAGCTGTACCCGCCACGCGTTGCTGTGGCCAACCTTCCCTCCCTCTTTCTCTCCTTTCTTTCTCTCCTCCCTTTTTACTTCCCTCTTTTTCTTTCCCTCTTTCTATCCCTCCTTCTCTACCTTTCTTTTCTTTCCTTCTCTTTCCCTCTTTCTCACCTTCTTTCCTTCCTTCTCTACCCTTCTTTCTTTCTTTCCTTCTTTATCTCTTTCTTCCGTCTTTCATTTATTTCATTCCCTCCTTCTTTCTATCCTTCCTTTCTTCTCTACCCTTCTTTCTTTCATTCTTTATCTCCTTCCCTTCTTCTTTCCCTTTTTTCTCCCTCCTTCTCTCCTTCCTTCCTTCTCTACCTTTCTTTCTCCCTCTCTCTTTCCTTCTTTATCTCCTTCCCTCCTTTCCCTCCTTCTCTCTCTTTCCCTCTTTCTCACCCTCTTTCCTTCCTTCTCTACCCTTCTTTCTTTCCTTCTTTATCGCCTTCCCTCCTTCTTTCTCTACCCTTCTTTCCTTCCTTCTTTCCTTCCCTCCTACCTTCTTTATCCTTCTTTGTTTCCTTCTTTATCTCCTTCCCTCCTTTTTTCTCTACCCTTTCTTTCCTTCCTTCTCTCCTTCCCTCCTTCCTTCTCTATCCTTCTTTCTTTCCTTCTCTCCTTCCCTCTTTCTCTCCCTCCTTCTCTACTTTCTTTCTTTCCTTCTCTTTCCCTCTTTCTCACCCTCTTTCCTTCCTTCTCTACCCTTCTTTTTCCTTCTTTATCTCCTTCCCTCCTTCATTCTCTACCCTTATTTCCTTCCTTCCTTCTCTTCTTCCCTCCTTCCTTCTCTACCCTTCTTTCCTTCTTTATCTCCTTCCCTCCTTCTTTCTCTACCCTTTCTTTCCTTCTCTCCTTCCCTCCTTCCTTCTGTATCCTTTCTTTCTTTCCTTCTCTCCTTCCCTCTTTCTCTCCCTCCTTCTCTACCTTTCTTTCTTTCCTTCTCTTTCCCTCTTTCTCACCCTCTTTCCTTCCTTCTCTACCCTTCTTTCTTTCCTTCTTTATCGCCTTCCCTCCTTCTTTCTCTACCCTTCTTTCCTTCCTTCTTTCCTTCCCTCCTACCTTCTTTATCCTTCTTTGTTTCCTTCTTTATCTCCTTCCCTCCTTTTTTCTCTACCCTTTCTTTCCTTCCTTCTCTCCTTCCTTCTCTATCCTTCTTTCTTTCCTTCTCTCCTTCCCTCTTTCTCTCCCTCCTTCTCTACCTTTCTTTCTTTCCTTCTCTTTCCCTCTTTCTCACCCTCTTTCCTTCCTTCTCTACCCTTCTTTCTTTCCTTCTTTATCTCCTTCCCTCCTTCTTTCTCTACCCTTCTTTCCTTCCTTCCTTCTCTCCTTCCCTCCTTCCTTCTCTACCCTTCTTTCTTTCCTTCCTTCTCTCCTTCCCTCCTTCTTTCTCTTTCCCTCTTTCTCTCCCTCCTTCTCTCCTTTTCTTTCTTTCCTTCTATTTCCCTCTTTCTCACCCTCTTTCCATCCATCTATACCCTTCTTTCTTTCCTTCTCTCCTTCCCTCTTTCTCTCCCTCTTTCTCTCCTTCCTTCCATCTATACCCTTCTTTCTTTCTTTCCTTCCTTCCTTCATTCTCTCCTTCCCTCCTTCTTCCTTCCTCTTTTCTGTGTATGTTTTGTGTGTGTATACGCATATATGTGTGTGTGTATATAGTTTTGTGCATGCGTTGTAATATTTTGTTTGTTTTTTGGCCTTTTAAGTCCTTTCTGATGTGTTTTTCTGTGTTTTTATGTGTGATGGTCACTCGTTGGCCTGAGAGGCGTCTTGTGTCCAAATTTGGTGTCAATTTGTCCAGTGGTTTTCGAGTTATGTTAATCCCACAAACGAACATTACATTTGTATTTATATAGATGGGGGAGTCAAGGGAAGATCTCCAAAGTACCAAATGCTTACTTTCAGGTCCCCCACTTGTAGTGCCGTTCCTGCCGCTTGGGCAATTATATGCATGAGTTAGCACTCTGATGCGCTGGAGAGCGACAGGGCTACAGAACCGGGATTTATTTTGCACGACGTTTGATTGCGGCGCATTCCCCCCCCCCTCCCTTGAAGCTCAAGCGCTGAGGCAGCACCTTGGCTCCTTTCCGAGAAGCAACCTGCTCAGAAAAAGCCCAGCATCTGCCTCCTCCTCCTCCTTTCTCCCACTCTTTCTTTTCCCCTTCACTCTTTCTCCTGCAAACCCTACAGCTCTGTTTTTCCCAAGGAGACCTCCGTGTCCTGCGCCGCAGCGGAGCGATGGAGCAGACAGTGCCGCAGCGAGGATGCTGTAAATAGCAGAAGTAGAGCGCTCCAAGAATGGTCTGATGGGCTTTTTCCCCCTTCCCTTTCTCTCTCTCTCTCATATTCTAGAAAGATGTGGACACTTTGCCCTCCCTCCAGCGCCTGTTCCTCAGCTTTAATGATATCTCTCGGTAAGCGGAAACTGGGATGGGTGGGCAGGAAAAGCATTTTACCTTGTCTTCTCTCTCTCTTTTTTCCTCCTCTGCAATTTAAAACATGACCTTACTTTGTCTTTGATGCTCCAGATTTAGTATTTTCCAAGGTTAGTTTTGAATTGTGTTGTCGAAGGCTTTGATGGCCGGAATCACTGGGTTGCTGTGAGTTTCCTGGGTATGTATGGCCATGTTCCAGGAGTATTCTCTCCTGATGTTTCGCCCACATCTATGGCAGGCATCCTCAGAGGTTGAAGCGTCTGTTGGAAACTAGGCAAGTGAGGTTGATATATCTATAGAATGTCCAGGGTGGGAGAAAGAACTCTTGCTTGAGGCAAGTGTGAATGTTACAATATGTATATACATATAATATTTAGATTATTATAATGCAATGCTATATAATACTAATAATAATATGATATTTTATAACATGTAATATTATTAGTAATATTACATGTAATAGAAAATATATAATTATATGTTGCAATATGTATATACATATATTATTTAGATTATTACAATATAATGCAATATAATACTACTAATAATATGATATTATATTACATGTAATATTATTAGTAATATTACATGTAATAGAAAATATATAATTATATGTTGCAATATGTATATGCATATATTACATTGTAATGCAATATAATACTACTATATTACATGTAATATTATTAGTAATATTACATGTAACATAAAATATATATGTTGCAATATGTATATACATATAATATTTAGATTATTATAATGCAATGCAATATAATACTAATAATAATATGATATTTTATTACATGTAATATTATTAGTAATATTACATGTAACATAATATATATATATTGCAATATGTATATACATATAATATTTAGATTATTATAATGCAATGCAATATAATACTACTAATAATATGATATTATATTACATGTAATATTATTAGTAATATTACATGTAACAAAATAATTATATGTTGCAATATGTATATGCATATATTATTTAGATTATTACAATGTAATGCAATATAATACTACTAATAATATGATTTATATTACATGTAATATTATTTGTAATATTACATGTAATAGAAAATATATAATTATATGTTGCAATATGTATATACATATAATATTTAGATTATTATAATGCAATGCAATATAATACTAATAATAATATGATATTATATTACATGTAATATTAGTAATATTACATGTAATAGAAAATATATAATTATATGTTGCAATATGTATATACATAGAATATTTAGATTATTACAATATAATGCAATATAATACTACTAATAATATGATATTATATTACATGTAATATTATTAGTAATATTACATGTAATATTACTAATAATATTACAATATAATGGTACAGTACAATATAGTAATATTTAATATTTAAATGTAATAATTATAGAGTAAAACAATAAATATATTAATAATATCACTATATTATAATATAGTAATATTTAATATTTAAATGTAATAATAATAGAGTAAAACAATAATTATATTAATAATATTACTATATTACAGTATAGTAATATTATTAATATATTTATTGTTTTACTCTGTTATTATTACATTAAAATATTAAATATTACTATATTATAATATAGTGATATTATTTGAATCCGGGGAGAGGCGGTTGAGCTCCCTCTATCAGCTCCAGCTCTTCATGCGGGGACATGGGAGAAGCCTCCCACAAGGATGATAAAAACATCAATTCATTCGGGTGTCCCCTGGGCAACGTCCTTGCAGACAGCCAATTCTCTCACACCAGAAGCGACTTGCAGTTTCTCAAGTCACTCCTGACACGACAAAAAAAATTACAATATAGTAATATTTAATATTTAAATGTAATAATAATAGAGTACAACAATAAATATATTAACAATAAGTAGAGTAAAATAAATGTAATAACAATAAAAATAGAGTAAAATAATAAATGTAATAATAATAAATAGGGTAAAATATTAAATGTAATATTATATATTTTATAATACATGTAATATTACTAATAATATTACAGTATAATGGTATAGTACAATATAGTAATATTTAATATTTAAATGTAATAATAATAGAGTAAAACAATATATATATTTATATTACTATATTACAATATAGTAATATTTAATATGTAAATGTAATAATAATAGAGTAAAACAATAAATATGTTAATAATGTTACTATATTACAATATAGTAATATTTAAATGTAATAATAATAGAGTAAAACAAATATATTAATAATGTTACTATATTACAATATAGTAATATTTAAATGTAATAATAATAGAGTAAAACAATAAATATATTAATAATATTGCTATATTACAATATAGTAATATTTAATATGTAAATGTAATAATAATAGAGTAAAACAATAAATATATTAACAATAAGTAGAATAAAATAAATGTAATAATAAAAATAGAGTAAAATGATAAATGTAATAATAATAAATATGGTAAAATATTAAATGTAATAACAATAATAGAGTAAAACAATTAATGTAAATGTAATAATAATAGAATCAAACAATAAATGTAATAATAATAACAGAGTAAAATAATAAATAAACCAAGGGGTACTTTTTCAGCCTAAAAAAGGGCTGAAAAACTCTGCTTATACTAGAGTATATACGGTATTTTGGAATTGTACTATACTATACCATTATATTGTAATATTGATATTGTACTAAGCTAATAATATAATATATTGTATGTATATATCTCTGAGTCCCCTTCGGGGTGAGATGGGAGGCATATAAATGTCGTAAATAAACATGTAAATAAATAATTGGCTGCCTTGATTGGCATTGAATGGCCTTGCAGCTTCAAAGCCTGGCTGATTGCTACCTGGAGGAATCCTTTGTTTGGAAGTTGGAGAAAGAACTCTTGTCTGCTTGAGGCAGGTGTTAACATTGCAATTGTCCACCTTGATTAGCATTGACTGGTCTTGCAGCTTCAAAGCCTGGCTGATTGCTGCCTGGAGGACTCCTTTGTTTGGAAGTCAGAGAAAGAACTCTTGTCTGCTTGAGGCAGGTATCAACATTGCAGTTGGCCACCTTGATTAGCATTGAATGGCCTTGCAGCTTCAAAACCTGCCTGATTGCTGCCTGGGGGAATTATTATTATTTATTTATTTATTTGGAACACTCCCCTAGGGGATACTCAGGGCGGCTTCCAGTTGGCACAATTCGATGCCACATAATAAAATACAAACAACCAATAATTATAATAGTTAAAACATTAAAACATTAAAACAATAGGTTGTTGTAGGTTTTTTCGGGCTATATGGCCATGTTCTAGAGGCATTTTCTCCTGACATTTTGCCTGCATCTATGGCAAGCATCCTCAGAGGCAGTGAGGTCTGTTGGAACTAGGAAAATTGGGTTTATATATCTGTGGAATGACCAGGGTGGGACAAAGAACTCTTGTCTGTTGCAGAGCACCTGATGAACCAACATGGACACAGCATATTATTTGAGAACACAGAAATGTGGACAATTTCAACAGAAAGGAGGAAACCATGAAAATGAACAAAATCTGGCTACCAGTATTAAAAAACCCAAAAATTACAACAGCAAAACAACAGAGAGGAAACAATCAGGCACATCTAATCACCTCTCAACAAAAGATTGCCCCAGGCACTGCCAGCCCATCAAATGCTCATCAAGGTGGTCAGTTGAAACATTCACACCTAGCTCCAACAGACAAGAGTCCTTTGTCCCACCCTGGTCATTCCACAGATATATAAATCCATTTTTCATAGATGCAGGCGAAACGTCAGGAGAAAATGCCTCTAGAACATGGCCATATAGCCCGAAAAAACCTACAACAACCCAGTGATTCTGGCCATGAAAGCTTTCAACAATACATTAAAACAATACACTTACAAGCTACTAAACTATTACCAATCCCTTGTTTGGATGTGTTAGCTGGCCCTGATTGATTCTTGCCTGGAATTCCCCTGCTTTTTGAGTGTTTTTTCTTTATTTACTGTCCTGATTTTAGGCTTTGAAGCTGCAAGGCCATTCAGAGAAGAGTTTTTTTTTTCTCCCACCCTGGACATCCCACAAATATATAAACCCAATTTTCCTAGTTTCCAACAGACCCCTCAACCTCTGAGGATGCCTGCCCTAGATGTGGGCAAAATGTCAGGAGAGAATGCTTCTGAAACTTGGCCAGACAGACAGTGCAGTTTGATCCTTGCCATGCTGCTTTATAATAATTGTTTTTGAAGAAATATGTATGTTTTGAGTTTTTGCTTGTTTGTTTTGCTGTATTCCATACTTATGCTATGATGGCATTTAACCAAAGCCGTTTTCTAAAGTGCCTGTATTTTCCTGAAATGCGCTAAACCCCTTGATCATTACGAAAATTGCCATACTCATGTGTGTTTAATAGGCTTCCCTTCGGAGGCAATTAGGCCTTGCGGCAGTGCCTCCTCCTTGCAGGCTATTTGGCTAGGATTTGCAGCAATTGGCCACGTGCGAAGTGCAAATGCCGGCTGGAAGGCAGGGGAGGGGCCTTATTGATCAAACTGGCTTGCATCTTATATTGTTTACAGTCTGCTAGATGCAGGTTTAAACTAGGAAAGGCACACAGCTCTTAACATAAAGTTTGCATTGTTTAGAAATCAATGCTATGGAATACTTAAGTCTCATGTCCAGTGCAAATCTCTCGACAGCAGGCATGTACTTCAACTCCCACAATTCCTAACAGCCAGTAGGAAGTGACATTTGTAACCCGGGAACAAAATGCATGTTATATTGTTTCCCAGTTTGGGTGTTGCAGTTAAGACAGGCATTGGTTTAATACAGATATGGGCAAACCAAGGCCCGGGGACCTGATGCGGCCCCTTGGGCTCTTTTCTCATACCCTCCTCTCTCCCACCATCCTATCCTGTCCTATCCTTTCCTATCCTATCCTTTCCAAACAAAGGATTCATCCAGGCAGGGAGG